GTCGTGTCGTGTAGCGCGAGTGGGTGAGCTCAACTGAACAGTTGTCTTGTTGTAGTAGTTGTAGTTGTGATGAAGTGGCGTACTGGAGAGCTTCTGCTCGAAGACCTGACGAGGGAAGTGGACCAGGTGCCACACCAACAGACCAGCGGCCTCCTGTGCCCGCGTTCATGTCCCAGGTCCATGTTCATGGGTGGGTGATGACGAAGAGGCCAACGTAGAAGAAGAGGTGGGGGGAGAGGTGTACGTGGAGGTGGTCGGGCAGGGCGTGGTGGCCTTCCACCTGCCAGCACTCGACGCGTGCTACGCCCTTCAACACCTCGGCTTCGATGCTGGCGTCGGCCAGGAAGTCGACCATCACCACCAACGGCAGCTGCTCTCCTGCTTCTCCACTCATCATCTTTGCTTGTTGTCTCTTGCGCCACGAGAACACGAAAGTTATGAATAACTTATCGAATCGGTGAAATGATGGTGTTGAATCTTTTCATTATTAATGTAATGAGGGGGAAGGGAGTGGATAACATGTAGATACAAGAGAGGGAAATGATTAGTTGGCGGCGTCTTCCTCCTTCTTCTCGTCGAGGGCATCGGCGACGGCGGAACCCTCGGGGGCGGCCTCGTCGCCGGCCTTCTCCTCCTCTTCTTCCTGGCCGACCGACTTCATGTAGTTCTCGAGATCCTCGTCAAGCTTCACCTTGGCGGTCTCGGAATCGCCCAGCATGTAGGAATCGAGCTCGGCATCGAGCGCGTCCTTGGAGGCGGGCTTGCGATCGCGGCCATCGCGGCCGCCGCGGCCTCCACCCCTGCCTCCTCGACCACCACGACCGCCTCGTCCGCCACCGCGACCCCTGAGGGCACCATCACGTCCGCCTCGTCCAGGGCGAGCGCCATTGGAAGGCCTGCTGGGAGCCCTGGATCCGCCTTGGTAGTCAGAGATGCCACCGCCATTACCCCCTCCTCGGGGGCCGCGACGGGCACCGCCATTAGAGGAGTACGAGGCGACATCTCTGTCATCGTGACCCCAGGAGCGTCCTCCTCCACGGGTGTCCCTGTCATCACCCCATCCATCACCACCGCGGTTCCTGCCGCCGCCGGTGCGCGTGTTCATGACGTTTTCGAAGCGATCATCGGCCTGGCGGCGCGCGGTCGAGCCCTGACGATCCGACCTGAGCTGGGAGAACCTGTCGTTGAGCGTGACCGTCCGCGAGTCGCTGTCCCTCTTGTTGGTGGTGATGGTGACTGAGCTGCCCGATCTCGACATGGTCGTTTTTGTTGAAGAGTAGGATGAAGGATGAAGGGGGGGTTGTTCGATTGATCTATCGGTGGAAGGAGAAGAGGGTGCGTGTGAATCAAGGGGCATCACTGTGCAGAGAGCAGAGCCATTTGGCAGCAGCATGTCCACGCTCGATGAAAGGGATCGTGGCCACGATCGATAAATTTTCATTCACCCACGAATGAGTGGTGATCGAGTCGTCTTCATGAGGATTGCTGCTGCCCGCATCAGAGAGGAGAAGAAGGATGGGCGCCGGGCCAGGCTGAATGTAGGTACCTGCCTCGAACGATGTGCGGCGCAGCTTGCTGTTTGGTTTGGAGATGATGATTGTTCGATGCGAGACCCAACAGAAAAGCAAAAACGGCTGCTTTTTCGACCAATGGGAGATCACCAAACTTTTTCCCAACCTTTTTTGCTCCAAGAAATGGAAAAGAAAATCTTAGCTTGGTGCGTGGCGTGTGCGGTGCGATGGTGGCGAGTGTGTGCGCGTGTGTCGTGATGAGTGCGATCCAAATGGAAAGTGAAAGAGACGAGAGAAACGGGCCAAGCGAGGAGTGAGTGAGTGAGTGCAGTGAAACGCGAATATCTGTCTGAGTGGGTGGTACATGCAAGAACGCGAGGAGAGTGGAGGAGGAAAGGAGTGGCGCGACACGCACGCCCATCAGCTCCGAGTTACAGAGCGAATGGGCCATCGGTGATGTGTCGCGGTAGGAGCGGTTCAAGAAGAAGAGGAAGAGGGTTGTATTTTACACCATAAGTCGTTTGCGCCCTGTAACGTTACAGACACAAACAGACACACAGCGTGAGTAGTGAGCCAGAGCAATCTCGAGATGAATGATCAGCAGGAGCACAGGCAGGATGAAAATCGCGAGAAGATGATGTGAGGAGAAGGTACCCATTCGATTATTCTTTCGTTTTGAGTCCGTGGTGGCTCTTAGCTGGGCGTGCTGTCGGGGGCGGCTTTGTCCTTATTGAAGTTCTTGATGTGAATCTGCGCCACCTCGGGCGACAGCAGTCGAGCTCCGCAAGAGCAAACGTATGTTTTACTCCATGGATACCGCCCCGGGATGGGATCGCCCAATACATGCTCTGCAAGTAACGCAATCAGAACCCCAGCCAAGAAGGGGGAGCAAAGCTAAGCAAAGCAAATCAAAAGGGAAACGGCAGAAGGAGGAAATTAATGAACGAGAAGGATGGCGTAATACGCGTAGCGCAATGAACAGACCCATCGAAGAACCAGCAAAACGAGAGCGCGGCAAGGGATTGAATGTGGGAGTGAGGGGGCTACCTTTAACTCGTCCGCGCCCTCGGCTGGGAGTCTTCGGGCTTGGAGTAGCGGGCGCTGTGGTCGAGCTCATTCTAATGGATACTTAATTGTACAAAATTGGGCCAAAATGGAATGGAATCCAAGCAACTCAATCCAGGATTCGCCCTTCTTCCTCGCCAACACCGCAACAAACCCAAAAAATTTAAAAAGGACATCATTGCGTACATTCCAACGCCTAAAATCCCGAAATTCGGTCGGCAAGTGCCCTGCGGAATTTCTTGTTGGGAAACCAGCGGGAAAAACGCAACTTATCCTCTATTGGTTGATATCAAAAAGGGTTGTCGATTGGCTGAATATATGCGGACAACTGGAGCGCTAAAACCGCTCCTGAGGCATCTTGCATCTTCCTCTTAGTTTCGTTGTTGTAAGGAGCATCCCAACAATGAGAGGAAAGGTACCTACCGCTTTCGCCCCCACCGTCCCCCCTCTCTCTTCTCTCTGTCCCTCTTTGCTTCCACGCTCTTGTTGCGGCAGCGCTGTTCAACACCTTCAGCTCTTTCGCTTGATCTTCTTGATCGTTATTAAAAGCCTTTTCGCATTCTCACACTATTTCCTTGATGCGCTGATTTACAGTGGAAGAAGAAGAGGATGAGGCGGCTTAAGCGCAAGAGGAGGAAGATGAGGCAGCGCGCCAAGTAAGCGGGCTATCGCCAGTTCTTTCGTTCCGGCTTCTTCTGCAGCGGGCTCGCGTGCCAATGCGGAGGCGTCCATCGACTTGAGAAAAAATACGACATCTGAGAAACGGTGAAGGGCCTCGAGACGGCGGTCGAATCTTCATTGGAGCAACATGCGGGGATCGGTAGAGGAGAACCAACACTGAACACCCTCCAAATGTGAACCTTCCGGTATCCATAAAAATCCAAATAATCCACACTACATCTTGCCCTCTTTATTTCATTCTGTGCCAGTTGGCGCAAGTACTTGCCAAGTAGGCCCCAAAAGAGCTCTTCATGAGGTAGAAATCCAACTGGAATGCCACGTAGAGGAAAAACAAGCAAAAACATCGACGTTATAAAATCAGACAAATCCAGAGGCCATGACAAGCGAGGTCGCAGCCGCAGCGCCCTCAAGCGGCTGGGCGTCCGCAAAGGCTTTCTTGGATGCACACTTTCAGGATGGAGAAGAGTCGCTGGGTCGGGCAGGGCCTTTGCTTCAGGAATTAATTGCCACCGATGCAGATCTGCAAAAGAAGGTCTGTGCTCCCTTCTTCTCTCGACCCACCCGTTGCCCACGGCAGTCGATTCTCCATCTGCTTCACACAAGGTTGCACTCTGCAGAGCGCACCGATGCTGAATGCTGAATGCTGAATCCCTTGCGCAGAGGGCAGCCACCGAGGAGGCGGCAAGGGCGGGCGTAGCACGAACACGCGAAGTGGCTGAGGTGGCCGGACGCGAGCTGGCCAGCTTGCAGCGAAGGAGAGGTTGGTGCCACCATCTTCATACGAGAGAGCACCTCGTTAACTTTGCCCATCTCTTGCACAGGAGAGCTGAGCGCGACGCTGAGCAAGCACCTCAGCAAAGCGGGCCAGTTGGAGCCCGACCTTACGCTGCTCCTCCACAAAATCAAACAGCTCCAGGTTCACCACCGCACCATACCACCTTGATGCTCTCGGCGCACGCAGTCGCCCAACCTCTTTCTTTCTCTTCTTCTACGCAGGAGGTGCAAAGCTACGTCCAGTTGCTGATCCACGTTCATCACCTGAGGTGCGTTGTTGATACAACGTGTCGTATGCGTCGTGCGGTTCGTGCGTGTCGTGTGTCGTGTCGTTCACCTTGCCATGCCTTGCAGAGATCAGATCTACCAGACCGCCGAGAGTGCCACCAAGAGCGCAGTCGACTATCTGCTCCAGCTGCTTACCATCAAGACCACCGTCGTACGCACCGTCTTCCCCTCCAACCTCCTTCACTCACAACTTGAGCTGCGCACACCGGTGCTCATTACCCCCTCGGGTGCCCGCAGAGCAAGCGGAGCTGTTCCAACCTCGGCGAGCACATCACCCAAACGTTCGAGCAGTGCCTCGGCGCGGTGGTCTCCCACCTCAAAGAGTACGCGCCACGCGTGCGTGGTGCCGCGCGTGTGTGTGTGTCGTGCGCGCTTATCTCGTTTTTTGCTGGTGCAGGCGCGTGAGCGGTTCGTTTGAAGCGATTTTGTGGCCCAAGCTTCCCGCCGCGTCGCAGCCGCTCAATCCGCCGCTGCCCGACTCGGCTGCGCTCGACTCGTTTCACAAGTCCTTCTCACTCCTGCTGCTTGTCCAGCTCTCGTACGCGCCATCAGCTCACCCACCTCCTAGCACGGGCCTAACGGAAACACGCACCACCGCACACGCACGTACCACCGCACACTCACCATCACACCATCGCACACGCACACGCACACAGGGTCGAGGGTTTAGGTAATGAGCCACAGGGGCAGGTGAACGTGGACGGTGGAGCTCAGGAGGAGAAGGCCGGGGCGTACTTATGGGGCATCCAGCTCCTCCTGGCGCCGTTGGTCAAGCGCTTCCGCTACCACTTCATGTCCAAGCGACCCACCAACAACATCGAAAAGGTCGATGAGAGTCGCCTTTCCTTCTTCGCGTTCGAACCACTCATATCGCGCGTGTTGTGTGTGCGGTGTGTGGTGTGTGTGGTGTGTGTGGTGCGTGTGGTCGTGCGTGTGCGGGGGTGCGTGTTCGCTTTCTCTCTCTCTCTCTCTATCGACTGCAGCCAGAGTGGTACCTGATGGACACGCGGGAGGTCATTCGCCTCAACTGCGACTTTCTGGTGCACCACGTGCAGCCTCTACTCGACAAGAAGAATCTAACCTACTACAACGCCAAGGTAGTTTCAACCCAACAACTCATGATCATCACCACACAATGATTCGTTTTAATATTCGTTATTATTGGTATATATTTCCGGATGCATATTACATTTATATTTTTCTCTTTTTTTTTAAAAAAATATTTACAAATGTACGCTGGCTCACGCCCACGCGGGGGCCAACGGTATAGACGGAGTTGATCAAGGGCCTGGTTGAAATCATCAAGGAGAAGACGAGGAAGGACATCGACGCCATCAGCAAGAACGAAGCCATATTCGTGCACAACCTCAACGAAACGCTCGACTTCCACAAGGTAGCGACGCATCAGCTTAATAATTATTCGCACATCTTTGAGACGCAGACAAGACTCACGCAGTTCGTATTCGTCGTTGTCGTCGTCGTTGTCGTGCAGGCGCTGGTCGACATCTGGGACTACCCCAGCGAGCGATGGATGAAGGCCTGCCCAACGCGCCGTGTGTGCTCGACGTCTACACCGACCGCCTCGACCGGTGGCTCGAGCTTGAGGAAAAACGTATGCTTCCTCCGCGCGCGCGCGTGTCGCATGCGTTGCGCGCGTGTCGTGTCGTGTGCTCTCATCTCTGACCTCTTGCTCGCGTGCGCAGTGGCCACCGAGCATTTGAAAGCCATGCTCGAACCCATTGCCGATCCCTGGTCGCTGGTGCGTTCGTGAGCGGCGGCTGTTTTTTTATTTATTTATTTATTTATTCATTTCTTTCCGTTTCTTGGCTGACGTCAAAAACTCTGCGGCGCGTGCGCAGTACTACAGCCTGACCGCGCTGGGACCGAGCGAGGAGGCGCAGCGCGAGAGCGTGCAGCTGCACGAAATGAAGCCCACCAAGTCGGCCAACGCGCTCATCACCACCCTCTCCTCCGTCACTGGTACGACCGAGCCGTGTGTGCAGTGTGTGCGGTGTGTGCGACACTCACACAACGCGGGGCACGCGTTGCGTTGGCAGAGCGTTACCGGATGCTGCCGCGTCTGTCCCATCGGCTGCGCTTCATGCACGAAATCCAGATCACCCTCCTGGCCCAGTACATGGCCAAGCTCAACGAAACCTACGAAGACAATCTCATCGCCCTCTCCCGCCACCAGTTCAGCAAGGTCCGTCCTACGACGCGACGCGACGCGACGCGACACGACACACATGGCACCCACGATATCACACGACACTCACGCGCTATGCGGTGTCGATGCGCAGGTGTGCGGGCTGATCAATTCGCTCAAGTACTGCGGGGCGGTGCTGGAGGACTGGGGCGAGCAGCTCTTCTTCCTGCAGCTGCGTCAGGCCGAGCTCGCCATCGGCGACTCCGACGACTACGCCCTGGCCGACGCCCCCAGCGCCCCGCCCGCCGACGCCGACGCCGACGTCGATAGCAGCACCGTATTCGACGGTACCCCGCAGGCGTGCCACGTCACGTCACGTCACGCACTCACCACCGCGTGTCGTGTCGTGTCGTGTGCGCAGATGTGGTGGCGCACTACAGGAGGCTGCGGCGGGAGATGGTGGAGAATGTGGTCGGGGTGATCGTGCGCGCGTTCAAGACCCACACCAGCGCCTACGTGACCAGGAAGCGCATCTGGAAGTCCGAGTTCGAGACCGCGACGCCGCTGGCGGGGGGCGACGAGACCACACCGCACAAGCTCGACCTCTCGCCGGCATCTGCGAGGTACCGTACCTCGCCCAGGCTCACGCAGTCTCGAACTCGCCGCGCTGACGCAACACACGACACACGCACGACACACACAACACACACGGACGCGCACGCACTCGCGCACAGGGTCTGTCACGACTGCGGCGAGATATGGCGGAGCTCAACGGCCACCTCTCGCAGCCGGTCTTCGTGAAGGTGTGGCAGCAGGTGGCGAAGCAGCTCAACGACTTCATCTTCATGCAAGTCGTCTCCAGGTCTCTACATCGCGCCCCCACCCCCACCCAGAAGCTTCAACCTCGTCGATCGTCTCCTTCTCACAAACAACCGCACACGATCCAGCACACGACCGCACACGCACACAGGCGGCACCACTTCCATCGGGTGGGCGCGATGCAGTTCCGGCACGACATGAATGCGCTCTTTCTCATCTTCCGGGACTTCACCGCCTCTCCCCAGAACTTCTTCAAGGAGTACGCCATCGACCACCATCGACCCCTCCACTCACCGCATGTCGTGTTGCTGACGGCGCACACGACACGACACGACACGACACGACACGACACGACACGACACGACACGACACGACACGACACGACACGCAGTGTGAAGGAGGCGGCGGTGGTGCTGACGCTGGCGGCCGAGGCCAGGGAGCGCATGCGAGGGCTCCTCGCGCCGCTGCTGGCCACCCCGGCGGCGGACACTCGCGTGTCGCTCCTCACCTCGCGATCACGTGAAGATGAAGACGAGGGCGCTGATGAAGGAGACGACAAGCGGAGGCTTCATCATCATGCGGTGGTGATGGACGACGATCGCGCCGAGCACTTTGCGCGCTTTGGGCTATTCAAGCTGACGCCGCGCCAGATCGACATCATACTCTCATTGCGCATCGATCACCACGGCGTGTAGAAGATAAAATCTTGAAGAGATCTTGAATTGATTGAGGCGATTTGATTTAGAATGGATGTGATTCGACATCAAGAGGCACGGAAGGTGATGGCTTGGGTGCCCAGGTGAAGCCAGCGATCGATGAAGAGGTCGCGATCGTACCGCTCGCGCTTGCCGGTGTGGGGGTCGTTGATGAAGACGGCAGTGGGCGAGTAGCCCACCAGCAGAGCGCAGTGCTCGGGCGACGTCCATCGGATGATGTCGGCTTCTCCTCCTCCTACAACATTGCAATCGTACCACTCGTC